CAGGCCTCAGTGTGTTTTCATTCATTAAAACCTTATTCAGGTCTGACCCTTGCTGCATGTCGTGCTGAGAGCTATAGTGGACAGTGAAGAAGGAGATGAAATCATTTTTACCACAAGGAATTGATGTTGTTAAAGAGGAAATAATGTTTCGTTTCTCCAGCATTTCTTTCATTTCAGTGGTGTACTGTGGACTGTTGTGGACCCTTCAGATGGAGAGGAAGTGTGGAAGAGTAGTAGTAGTCACAGTCAAACTGCAAAGAGATGAGTTTACTAGACATACTGTTAAATCTCTGAGGCAGGATGAAATCACTGCAGAATTGAGTGCTAAAACAGAGGGGAAACAATAGGATGGCATAGACCTAAAGCAGATGGCAGACCACAGCCCTGTGTGTGAACTTGCTGCGAATTGTGTCCCCAGTGCTGTCAACCTCATCCTCTCTCATACACACCCTGGTGGAGAATGGTTCCTTGTTAAAGGGGAATTCATTGGATGTTTTAGGACCCAGTGGTCTTTGAGGATGTGGCTGTGGACTTCTCCTCAGAGGAGTGGGCTTTGCTGAATCATGTGCAGAGGAAGCTCTATAAAGATGTGATGCTGGAAACCTTCAGGAACCTGGCTTCGATAGGTAAGGACGACATCATTCCTTCACTTACTCATTTAGATAGAGTACAAGTACTCCCTAGCTATTGAGCTTGTCTCAAAATTTGGGCTGAACAATGCGCACTTACTGGTAAGTAAGGCAGACATGGTTACCTTGCTTATGGAGCATGTCACCTAAGAGCTTTCTCTTGGATGTACTGAACCTAGTACTTCCTCTCTTAGATGCTTTTGGCCTCCTGAAGGGTTATTGCTCTGTGCCTTAGAGAAACAGCTGTCGTTGAAGATCATTACATTTGGAACTATTTGGAAATATTAATGAGCAAGATAAGTGAATCTTCTCACTGAAGATGTTGAGTTTGGCAGATCCCTTGGCTTCCTTGTTTGACTTTTCATCCATCCTCTCAAAATGTCCTTGTCCTGCGTGGAAGACCTTCTGTATAAAGTTAGGATTCGGGCATGTGCCTTTGTTCACTTCCATTCCATGTTGCTTTCCTGATAAAAAGGCATTTATTTATGTCACCACTAGTCTCAGTCTTCTTGGAAGTATTTCCAGTTCATTGTCCACCATTTTCACTTCTTGTCCTTATTATTTTTGGAGCCCTGAAACACCTAAAACTCCTCAGAGTCGTCTGTTCCTGGAGCGTGCATTCTTCCTCATAAAATTTGTTTAATTTTGGATCACTATTTGAAAATAAATGTACGTGCTGTCTACTTATTTTCTTGCTTTCATCCTACCAGTTCTTTCCAAAGAAAGTAAATTTTGTTACCATTTGTTTAATGTTATAACACTCAACTTAAAATTAATGGGTCAAATCCTCTATAGTATGTATTTGGAAAAGAAATACAAAGTAAACAGAATATAGTATGATTCAGAAAAAAACGATTCCTGGTTCTCCATTTTAAGAGAAGACTGGGAAAATGCCATGGCACTGAAGATTAACCCAAGAACCAGGGGACACATTTGAGGTGACTGACGTTTACAGAAGGGAAAACAGTGTCTCAGGAGAGTATTAGAGTGCCATAATTGTGTGTATGTATGTAAATATGTCAGATATTAAGCATTCACAGAAAAATTTCACGAGATAGTTTTATACAAGTGATACAGATGTTGATTGAGAAACAGTTCAGTTGTAAACAATTGTCAAGGAAAAAAACCCATATATAAAAAAGACTGGAAATGACACCTGTGGTTGAGCCTTCTGTTAACAGCATTCAACTCATTTCACTTTGAAACAATTCAAAGAGGTTAAAAAAAATACATTCACTGAAAATGGTGACAATGTAATCATATTAGTCATTAAAAACTGTCAATGAATTATTAACAAATAAATTATTGATAATATGATTCCTACTTTTACAGAAGTCATGTGGTGGAGATGTCCTCAGAAAATAATGAAAGTAATCACCCTGGAGCAATCCTCAACCAGATTCCAAAACTTAATGTACATGAGAGACTTTTTACTGGAGTAAAATCCTGTGGAAACAATAAGTTTGAAAAAGCCACCATGGATACTTTATCCCTAAAGAGTCACACAGCATCACCTCAACACAGACAAAAGCCCTGTCAGTGTAAGGCATGTGGGAGAACTTTTATGTGTTACTCCTCCTTTAGGGCCCACATAAGAGCTCACACTGAAGGGAGACCTTATGCATGTAAAGAATGTGGAAAAGCTTTTAAATACTTTTCCAAACTTAGAGTGCATATAAGAATTCACATTGGACAAACACCATATGGCTGTGGAAAAAATGGAAAAACCTTCAGATCTCCCTCAAACCTTTGGGCTCATAGAGAAACTCATACTGTCGAGAAAACTCATGCTTGTAAAGAATGTGAAATATCCTTCTCTTCTCCCTCTTCACTGAGAAAACACATGAACGTCCACAGTGCAGAGAAAGCCTATGAATGTAAGGAAAGTGGGAAAAGCTTTTCTTCATTCTTTTTACCTGATCATCCATGCAAGAGTGCATACTGGAGAGAAAGCCTACAAATGTGTGGGATGTGGGAAAGCTTACAGGTGGCCCTCAGACCTTAGGATTCACATGAGAACACACTCTGGAGAAAAGCCTTATGAATGTAAACAATGTGAGAAATCCTTCAGTGCTCCCTCATCCTGTAAGGGACACATGCTAACTCACACTGGGGAGAAACCCTATACATGTAATGAATGCAGAAAAGCCTTCAGTAGTCCTCCATCCTTCAGAACACATATGAAAACTCACACTGGAGAGAAACCCTATACATGTAAGCATTGTGGGAAAGCCTTCAGGTGGTTTTCATCTTTTCAAGGACATTTGAGAACTCACAGTAGAGAGAGATTCCATGCATGTCAGGAATGTAGTACAGCCTTCAGGAGACTCTCATCCTTACACAGACATGTGAGAATTCACACTGTAGAGAAACTCTCTAAATGTAAGCAGTGTGGAAAAACCTTCAGTAGTCTGCTCTCCTTAAAAAAAGGACCTGAGAACTCACATAGGAGAGAAACTGTCAGTAAGTAATGTGGGAAAGCTCTCAGCAGATTGTTTACTGTACACAACAAACTTCACACCATTAGAAATGTTTATCAAAATCCAGAATATAGTGTTGGCTTTATTAGTGCCTTATGCTTAAAATAGACCTCTACCATAGCCAGTTTTTTCTGAGAAAAACATTTAGGGGATGAACATTCCTTTAGGTATTACTTTGCAGGGATTGCTATAACAAATTGCCACAATGTTGGTTGCTTAATAAAACAGATTTATTATCTCATAGTTTTGGAGATTAGATTCCAAAATCAAGATTTTTTTAGGTCAGTTTCTCTTGGAGATTCTGAGGGAGAATCTGATCTCTCCAAGCTTCTAGTGGCTGCCCACAGTCCCTCAGTTTGTAGGTGCGTAACTCCCATCTCTGCTTCCATCTTCCATTAGGTCAGTTTCTCTTGGAGATTCTGAGGGAGAATCTGATCTCTCCAAGCTTCTGGTGGCTGCCCACAGTCCCTCAGTTTGTAGGTGCGTAACTCCCATCTCTGCTTCCATCTTCCAGTCACCTTTTCCTCTGCGTTTTATTCTTTTCTCTTATAAGTCATTGGATCCGGGGCCATCCCTAGCCCATGACGATCTCATCTTGAGATCCTTAATTACATCTGCAAAGACTCTTTACCTTATTAGGTTGTGCTCACAGGTTTTGGGTGGACATATCTCTTGGGGGCAGCCACCATTTTTCTCACCACATACACAGCCAGCCAAATTCTATAACTTTTGGTATATAGAGTTTAAATCATGAATTGCTTGAACAAAAATTTATTTATACTATGAAGTCTTTTGGACCCATAGGTCTTTTGGAAGTGTGTTTTTAATATGTAACTGTTGGAATCTTAGATGGTTTTATTTATTTCTAATTTTCATTATGTTCCAAACATGTGGCTATTATGATAATGATACTTTGGAATCATTCGGACTTTATTTATTGTCCTAATGTCACAGATACTGGAATTTATA